AAGTGATTGAAAATTTAAATCATGAATCAAAGGTTGTCTAGAAAAGATCGCTTTTAGCGATAAGATCGCTTTTGCCTACCCTAACATTTGTACCAATATTGATAATCTAATTTTAATAATTATGTGTGAGCAATTATTATGACGTTATTCTTATATTGTTACTGAGGAAGGAAAACTAAAAGGTGAACCGCATAATCTATAATTATATTCAGTCACATCTATATTCAATACAGCTTGAACATAAAACATGGAACACATATCAAAATCTGCTTGGTAACAGTTTGGGTTAGGATTCAGTGATAAACTTTTTTTAAAGCTACAAAATTAAACAGATTTGCTTAATAAAAAGGACCAAAATGGTTAAGTGTAAAACCTTAATGGTATTTTAATAGCAAAATTTATTAAGCATCCTACATCCGCCTTGCTCTATGAGACATTTTAGATGCCATTTTTTCTTCGGAATATCGAGTAAATTACCGTAACCGGACTGATTCTCTCATTGATGACGCTCGACATTTTTTATGTTACTGCTGTTAGTCGGGTCGTAATAAGTGACGATATGGTATCATCACACCGAGTTGGAAAAACTTGTTTGCATTACAATCTCTTGAGATTTTTCGGTCCATGTTTATGTATGTGTTTGAATTATCCTTTTTTATTATCGACCTGTTAATATACTGACGGCTCACAGATATTTGTTAAATGTGTTAAGAATTAATGTTTTATATTACGTAACAATCAGTTACAATTGAAAAACGTCAAGTAAGCGAATTCAACTGACGAAAACTAAGCAGAAAAACAGCTAAGTATCTGTTATCATTAATATGTTGTTTTAAATTTTCATGGTCATATATCTACATTCGAATGATTGTTTTCTACAAGATCATCGTAATGTAACTTATATTTATTGATATCGATAAATAAACCTGTTGTACTAGTACATGGTAGCAATCTCGTAGGATACGGTAATTCTAATTTAATCATTAAATTGCTATAACCTAGTATGACCTAGACCGATAATGAATTCCCGATTACAGCAATAATAATAAAGCTTACAACAGCGAAAAGTTGTTATAGTAAAGACTAGCTTTCCGCTAGCGGCTTCGCCCGCGTGGTCTTGTATTATACATAAAAACCTTCCTTTTGAATCATCTTATCTATGAAAAAAACCGCATCAAAATCTGTTGCGTATTTTTAAAGATTAAAGCATACATAGAAATATAGGGACAGAGAAAACGACTTTGTTTTATACTATGTAGTGAAGTGATGAGCCAAAAGTTTTTACCTTTCAGCGCATATATATTATAGATATATTAAATACACCTCATACATATCATTGCACAAATACACTTTAGAACGTTAACATAATCGATCCCCTTTTCGATAATTTTAAACAAATGCTATCGTATATAGTTAATACCCGTATCATTAGTGTAAGACGCACGTGGGCGTGAGCTTTGTTTGCTGTCGCACGCGTGGGAAAGGGCGTGCCAAGTCTTCCCACCGAAGACACATATGTGTCGCACTTCTGTCGAGGTTATTTCGGGCATGATATCATGACACGAGCCAGACTCACGACCCAATATCAATGTCAATTGAATACTTAGTTTATTTTTTTAAATCATAGACGCTATAATTTTTAAAGTACATTTTGTATACAAGTATGTAGCGTGGATTTCTGAATTGTTTTATTCAACAACTTTTCACTAAGTCTATTAAGAAATAAGACTACTAAGAAATCAGAAAGATACTAAAACAATTTTTTATATCAAATTCAAAAGGAAGAGCAAGTTTTATTGCAAATAAAAATAAATAGGTATTTATTAAGTTCACCCAATAGTAGCAATTCTATATTACCTGGTACTAACGAGACGGAGACGGAAGCTCTAGTTAAGTAAAGCTCTCAACCGTTATTCGATTCAAGATCTAAACATTTTAAAGTAAGAAAGAACCTTTGCAAATGGAAATCTTCCTTAGCACAAAGAAATGTGTACCTATCGAATTCATATCAAGCACAAATAGCTTTTTGTATTAATATGTGCTCATGGTCAAACACTTCCAGAAAGGGAATTAAGACTTCCAATATAGAACTTTCATATTTATGATAGACAGGAAGGTATCAATTCAATTCAGACATTCATTGTTCTCGTATTAAATAAATATGTAAAAAAAAAAACACTTAATTAAAAAAACTATTATTTGCGGAAGTATTAGTAAAGCAAATTACATCTGACTCACAAATATCCAACAGTGTATTTAATTAATTAAAAGTTTCCACATTATCTCTTAAATCAAAGTTATGAGTCATCAAATCACACATTCACTTACTATCACAGATATTTTAATAAAACCCGAAAGCGATGACGAGAAAGCGCGTCATCGATGACGGAACGAAACAAAATCACGATCCGTATTTACTTAGAAAACAGTCCCCATTCTCGAGAAAATTACTATGTATCAAGGAATTACGATTCAAGATGTCATTCACATGTATATGTACGTAATCGAAAACATACCTCACACCCAATGGTGAGTCATAAATGATGATCTTTGTTTTCACGTCGGACACACGTTAAGGCACAACAATCTAAACAAAAAGTGATCATGCGTAATACAAGACTTACGACCTTCTTGAGTTGTGTACTTAAAATTATCATTTACCTCCTTTTAAATCTAGTGGAGTTCTTTATAAGAACGTCTTATGTAAGTTGCTCTTAAGGTCTACAATCGCAGTTATCAATATCGCTATATTCTTAAGCTTGTTAGATAAATTTGACGTCACTTGTAAATTAAATTGATGACGTATTTCTTATTTGTTGTATTGCTAATAATAAAATCGTGACATACGGTGTGCCCAAAATAAATAATGGAATGACTCATATTAATACGATACAATATTGCATAATACTACAGAGTTTTGAACTCATTATCTGTCAGCTTGTCTTCTATAAAATAAATTGAACAATTTTTAAGGAAAAACTGTTTTCAGTGTCAAGGGTATATTTTTGTAAGGGTAAACGAACGTAACATAACCGTTAGTCTTGTTTTTTTTTTTAATTATAATGTATGTTTACGTTTATGCTTGTTATATTGTAATATATTTAACATTCCTGCTATCTTACAACAGCAAGCAGTAGGATTAGTTACAGCGTGTAAGTGTAACACAGCTTCAATGAAATTACAATTTCATTACATTGTTTACGAGTAATTAGCAAAAATCATTAAAATCTAATCCTAATTTCAAGACAATGCGGAATTTGTACTAGAGCGCTTTGCAACCCGACAGCAGATCTATATTGATCCAAAGTGTATTGAACTCGATAAATAAAATCATTAAATCTTATAAAACAAAAAAAAATCTACATAAAGATCAAATTATTCCATTTTTGAAACGACAAGAAATCTGGACCTGAAAAGCATTAGGTCGGATGTATAAAAACTGTATAAAAACAGAAATAGCTAAATGCAATCAAAATATTTGAAAAAGTCGTCTGATCCGACTTTATGCATGACTGTTGCTCATGAGTAAAAAGGCACAAACATACAAGAGTTAATTTGCCGGAAAGAGAAAAAAGAGTGTAGCAACGTTATGGCGATAAGTGATTTTAGCTGGTTCTGCACATCCGACCTAATGCTTTTCAGGTCCAGAAATACGTTATTCAAACTGTGTAGCAAAAGGGCTTAGCTAGTCGCATGCCGACTACCTGGACCCAAAAATGTTAAGGCAAGTCCATCTTGGTCCGTGCCATTTATTATAGGTTTTTATGTCAATCTTTTGTCTATGCCAGTCTTTATCTTTTGCCGCCAAAAAGGCCGTGTAGCGGTTAGCAATATAATAAGGCACATTTATTTGTGTTTAACTATAATGAAAATTAATTTTACAGTTATATTTACTATTCAAAATTAAAACTGCATGGTAATTTTATTGATAGAATAAATGACAGTTAACCGATCTTTTTTTTTATGTTTCAAATTACAAAAACTAATAACAACTCAAAAATCATTGGCTTTATTAACAAAAAAAAAAATGTTCTGAATATGAATTTCAAAATTCATTAAGAATTTTAATATGTTGTTATATTAAAAGCCGTTCTAAACCTCTCTAATGGGAAAACGAATTCAAGAAATCATCAACAATAAAATAAATTTGTTCCTTAAAAACCCTAGGTCCCATGCCACCAGCATCCTGTCTTAACTGTTTTCTTTAATTATAAATAATCTAGACTTGTTCTCCGTTCCTAGATTACGATATAACAAATCCAATCAGTTAATCGACTGAGTGATTTTTACAAACAACTATACAAAATTATATTTTCCTAAAACCCTTTCTCATTATGGAATTACATTAATTTAAGTGCTTAATCATTTGAGGACTATTACACCTCAATGTTGACAAAATTAAGTTATCTTCTTAATTTCATAAACTGAACTATAAAGATCAAGAAGATTAAAATAATATATAAATATATAATAAATGTGTATATAAATATATAAAATATATATATATATATATTCAATTTTCAAACTGAACTGTAAATCATGTCAATTCTAACAAGCATGTAACGAAATAGATTAACGTGATTATACACATAAACGATGTCTAAAAGCCTAGTCATCGTAGTCTAAAAGCCTATGGAATGCTACGTATCTTTAAATCGAGACACACACGTGCTCATGCGCACCTCATGAATGGGAGGGCACAGGGCGCATGGCGGGGTGGGGAGAAGGGCGACGCGGGGCGAAGGCTTTTTTCAGGCGGCAGTGCAAAGCGTCGCGCCGATATACGCGCACGTAACCTCGCTCTGTGTTTAAATTGTTCTTTTTTTTATTATTATTTTGTGTTTTTATAAGTTATAAGTGTTGTTGAATTCTGAGGTAAGTTTATATTTAAATAAACTTTTAGTCTTATTACATTAGGCAATTTTGAGATTATGTATTGCGATATGTTTTTATTAGAAATTCGAAAATTATAAAATATAATCTTTTTATATTTACTGTTGAATGGTATTTATATGTAAATCATATAAATGTAAAATAAACAACAATATAAAATTCGGAATAAAGTAATGATATCCTCATCTTTCAATTACAATAGGTCCTACACACGAAAAATGGCTACTGATCCTGCGCCTTTGTCAAAGACAGCGAAGTATAAGAAAATAACAAAGCCCCTGCTCGAAAGAAAGAGGCGGGCCCGCATCAACCGATGCCTCGACGAACTAAAGGACCTCATGGTTGGGGCTCTAGAGGTGAATTTAATTTATTATATCCACATCTAAAACTGGTATATTAAAAGTCTCAGCTTCAACAAAATAATCTATAATTGCATGCAAGAAAACATGTCCATGACTTTTTTTGTTATTATCGATCATCAAAACCCAATCGATCTTTCATTCACACGCCATTTATTTTTATCACAGACCGGTCGTCCTTCTGTTTATTGCACGAGCACTTATCTGCTCGCGGTGAAACTGGAATTTAAAAGTACAAGTCCCATATATACTTTACGTTCAACTCCCTATTCTGCTGCAGCCGTACAGTTATAATACTGACCGTACACCCAGTACCGTGGGAAACATTGTATGCACCTGCTCAATACTTTTTGTTTTTGTTCACAGATCGATGACGACAACTTAAGTAAGTTGGAAAAGGCTGATATCCTTGAGTTAACCGTTAATCATCTCACAAAATTACACAGTCCTAAAGATCCAGTTTTGGAAGCGAAGAAATTTCAGGCCGGCTTCGGACAGTGTGCCGCGGAGGCGTGCCGGTTTATTATGTCGGTTCCCGATTTGGACGCCAAAGTCAGCCAGAGTCTGATAAGCCACTTATCGAGATTAATCACAGCGCAACCGCTGTCAATTCAAGTTCCGGACCGGCCGCCTTTCTCCCCACCCACGTCACCCTCGTCCGTCGTTTCCGACAGAAATCATTACTACAGCGACTTGGAAAGATCCTCTTCAGATGCCGAAGAGTCCGTATACACCTATGAAAACGCTTCTAAACAATGGACTTACTCACAGCCAAATATTGGACAACATCCCAAATCTACGCCACGAATGACGGGGTTGTTGACGACTGTCGACAAAATTCCACATCCACATCACGTCGCGGATCAAATTAATAGCTCTCACCATCATAGGAGTAACGCTTATTTCAATAGAGTCCCGTCTGAGGCGAAGGATGTTATACTTCAAAAGATCAGACAACACATAATGGACAAACGCGGTAACGAGAACGTTGATGTAAACACTACAGTTGAGCCCGTCGTTAACGAACCAAAATATTTGTATAGAGAAGATGCATGCAGAAGCGATCTCGTGTATCAATATTCGCCAGTGAACGCACCCAACTCAGACACATTAGATTTGAGGAAGTTCAGATCGCCTATGAAGACCTCCGTCGAGGACGCGTCGCCGAAAAAAACCACTAGCAAATTAGACACGCAACCTGCGCCCGAGATCAAAGTTGAAACGGTCAATGTTCCGGAACAGTGCGAATTGCCGATGGATTACAACAACTTACCACCTAAAAAGAAAAGGAAATTAATCGAATATCAGGAATATAAAAAACAAGAGGAGGCAAAGCGACAACTCGAGGCTTTTTACGAAGCGAAAAAAGGGCGTCGCGCCGACGACGCTCAAGTTGATGAAGAAAAATGGCGTCCGTGGTAGATCCTGCGAAGTCGCCTCAAAATAATGTGATATTAAGATTCTTCCAATATAAAGCTTTAATTAATTTATGTATGTTACGTTACGTATTGTTTCATACTCGTGCCTTAATTATATTATTGTATTTTAAATCTTCCTTTTAAGTTCTGTGTTAGATTAGTCATTAAAATATTGTAACTTCAAATTTTATTTATGTGCCATTTTTGATCTCTACGCCATTAGATATGTTTCTGAGTATAGATATGTTGTCTTCCAAATAATATAAAGTATCATGGTAATTGAAATTTTATTATTCATAAGCTTATCTCAGATATATGAAAAAACTCAACAATAAATGATACAAATAAAAACCTCTTTTAATCTCCTATAAAAGACATAAACGAACTGCCTTCATAAGGTTTAGTAGAAATGCCTATATATTATAAATAAACTTTAATAGTAATTTCTCCTTTTTTTATATTTTTTATTAAGGTAGGTACCAATGTTACTAGGGTTTTTTTTTATATTGTCATGCGTCAATATTCAATAATATTAAATATCAAAATAAAGACGGATTTTTTAATTTAAATTGCGAATGTTTTAAAGAATAATTTATTTTTATATTTATCATTAAAATAATAATTAGACACTAATATTAATCTTATGAATGATTATTCATAATATATAAACAATTAAAAGGCATATGCCTATTATATTCTCTTGAATAATAAAAAAAATAAATACTTATATTAAATTAATCATTTATATTTAGGAATTTTCAAAATAATAAATATTAAAACATTAACTACCTCCTACATACCGCAACTCAATATTAATATCTTCCTTGTATCTTCCTACCACTATCGCCATCTATATTAAGCTACTCCCAACATTTTCAAAATATCAGCGCCATCTCTTAAAATCAGTCAAATATAACTTATATTTATGATATCGTTTCAAGCATTTAATAAATTATATTATTCATAGATGACGCTGATAATGCGCACATTATAAGCAATTTATAATTTTGTACTTCTTTAACTCCTATTCATCTAACCTTAGAGTATAAATAAGCTTGAGTATAAGCTTGCTTATATATCTGGCCGATAGACGAAACTAATTGCTATTGACTTTTATACACTAGTCAATAGAAATAAGATTAAAATATGACAATAAAGATGCCTAGGGTTGTTATTAAATTGTTTATAAGATGAAAATATGGAATTATTCTTTTTAATGACAAATTATTAAAAGTGATGAAACTTTTTTGAACATTTTATTCTTATATTTAAAAAAAATGGAATAGTTTAAATTTTGTAAGTACAAAAAAGAAATATGGCATAGTAAAAAAAAATATAGCAATAGCAGCGCCATCTATGGATAATCAGACAGAATTAAACAGTGACGTTCCTCTTCCAATTTTTCATGACTATTAAGAGATTACGCGAGTTGTCTTATTATTTTTCTCTGTTATTTTCATCATTAAAAAGTGTATATCATAATCATTATATAATTCATAAAAGTTATTTTTTCTCTTGATAGTCAATATTTTCATGTATAATAAATTATTATTATCGCACTTTAGTGATCAAACTCATTGATCCCTAGGCGCGTCAATGTTCGATAAAAATAATGGATGTACTGCGCCCGGAGAGTTATATATGTTAAAGCTTAAAAATATATCACTATATTTATTCTAAACAAATATTTTTAAAAATGGTCATTTTTATTGACAAATGATGCGTTTATAAAAAAATAACTACCGCCATCTATTATAGAGTAAAAATATCAAGCCCGCGTTTACTATCTTTCGATTTACACATGACGTCTACTCATCACTAGATGGCTTTCTTGTCCAACCAACGCTCGTAACATCTGCCTGAATCGCTATATTGTGTTGCCTTGCGTAGTAGTATTGGAGTGGTGGGGCGTTACACAAGCAAATCGGATTCATTCAATTCATTCATACGTTAACGTGCCGGCTTGTTAGCCAGTCATTTAATATATTCGATATTTAAAATATGGCATACGCAAAATGAGGCGTGCGCGTAATAAATAACGAACTTTTTCGACTTTTGAATAAAAACGAACTTGACAGTTACGTTTGATTTGTGAATTGATGGATATAAATTACTTAAGTTTACTAAAGTAGCTTGTTTATTGTGTTTGTGAGATAAAATGTGTTTTGTTTATGGTGTTGTGTGATCGCCTGGTAAAATGTTGTGAGATGCTCGTGAGTGAGCAGTCACCGGCACCCCGCGTGGTGGCCGGATTGAGAAAGCTTCACCCTGAACTGACACCAGGTCCTGTGCCGACGCCGGCTGATCCCAACTTGAGGATATCAGGTCGGTTGTAGTTTTAAAATTATAAAAGAACAAATATTGTTCAATAGACATGCGTCTTTACAAAAGATTGATGTACCTACCTAGAAACTTTGACATACCTATTTGATTTTATGGATAGGTATGTCCAGTCAGAATCTAAGAGACTCAACATATCTTTAATATAAAGTAATTAACACATAATGTAATAGGTACACTAATTAAACGCTTCTACACTAGGGTCTGATGTACTTTATGGCTTCACGAAATTGGTGTACTTAGGTAAATACATTATAATTTTTTAGATATTTTCAAATATAATTCCTTTGGATAAAAATGTAATATCGATTCCATGAAACATAATTTAATTAATTAGATAGTTAAAACACTTAATTTAACCAACCAATTGAGAATAACGTGGTGGTAGGAGCTTCAAATTTTTTGGCACTTTTTTCCAATAACACTTCTCTTGGTTTGACGACTAATGTTGGTAGGCATGAGAACATTAGCCTTTTTTGTGTTGTAAGAGAAATGCTTTATGCCTTGTCTTCGCCGCTTGATAGGCAGGGTGGAGTGTAGGACTCCATCTCCACTGACCTGCCCTAAGGATACCCACTAATCCAACTATGTACTCTGACTTAAGGGAAAGGCCTGGGATCCAGCAGATTCTGACGAATTGATGATCTCTTTTTGTGAAGTCTGATAATAATCGCCAGTAAAATAACTATGAGTATAGAAAACCTGTGTTCTCACTATTTAGTACCTGTGTTCTCACATATTAGCTAACTGGTAGAATGGTAGCTAATTCCTTTGCATTTTTATCATTGATGCTCATCCGATCTGCCCTGCGATTCTCTAAAAATCCAGATCCGAATTCGAATTCACTCACGAAATCAAGTCATTTAGTGTAGAAATTCTATTGATTCCATTTTTTCATAAAAATACAACACATATGTATTTGATAGAATATACTTGTCTCAGATATTGTATTCTATTTTATTCCTATGTCATTTCGAAACTCACTTCACTTATGTCACGAAACGTTAATACCAATTCAAGGTTCAGCGGATGCCGCTTTTTGAAGTCAATTCCTGAGTGAATTCGAATTCGGGTTTGGATTTTTACAGAATCGCAGGTCTGGTTACAAAATTTATTTTTGCTTACCTCTGGTGAGGTGATAAGACTTTTCAAATCGAGTACCTATCGAATCGACTTATTGAATTCGCGTTTCAACAAAGTCGATATTGATATCGACTCGTTAAATTCGAGCTCAGTATCTAAATCACAATGAAACACTTCTAATGCGTTATTATACTAATAAATGTTATCCTATACTAATATTGTTATCAACTTTGTTGGAATATTGTTATTCTGTTTCATCTCAAATGCTGACGATCACACAGTAATGGAACCCTACCATCTCACGATTCCGCTAACCATACCGCTTAATTATGATTACCCATTAAAGTAACCGACAAAGACTTTGATAAAACAAATAACGCTTTGAAATACAATACCTTAGGTTTAGAACACAATATAACTTCCTTATTGCTAAGAGCTATATTTTTATTAAGCCCAGACCTTTTGACTGTGCCGCGTGTTTTTGTAAACAAACCGTCACATGACCGGCATAACAAAAAAGTTTATAATTCTTGTTTATTTCCTCATTGTCTTTGCGCGAAATGTAGCAATTTAGCTCAAAAACATTACACACGTCGTGTTATATCAACAAAGATTCCCACTTGTCATTTTCCTGACATATTATACAGGTAAAATATTCTATCTATCTAGTCTTCTGTCTATTAAGGTAGCAGACAAATTCCTATATTTTTATCGACACTTGCTGTTCGTTCACTTCTCAAAACGATAATGCGTAGGTTTGTTATCACACATCTGGCACGATGCTTCACTGTCTAACAAGCCTAATCAATTGTTTTGCTTCGTGTATTCATAACGAAGCACCAAATAAAAAAAATGTTATGGGACCTTATACTTGTTTAGTAATATAAAAAACAATCTTAGGGTACCTTATACTTTTAGTAATCGACACACTCCGCAGATATTACTCGCATTCGACTGAAATCTCATTTCATATACCGTGAATTTAAGTTGACTTGTACTTTCAAGTTCAGAACATCTATCAAAAGGAAGTATGCCGAAGGAGGCAAAGGAATTTTAGAAATCTTTGTAATACAAATATATGAAGTAATTTGCAAGGTGTAAAGAAAATTAGTTTCGTCTGCTTCAGTTTTTTAAATCCAATTTAAGCCATAATCGTGCGTACTTGAACTAAATTACTTGCTAGGGTAGGTATTGACTTTTATTGAAATTTACTGAAATCGAAATAACGGACGGACTGTAGCTAAGATCCAATCGCGGTCGTAATATATAAAAACGATATTTTCTGTATTGTCCTGGTTTTGTGATGTAGACCACAAATGTTGTAGGTATAATACTACCTATTTATTTATAAATCATACATATCTTCTAGAAATTTCACTGTCCGAAGAGCTTCTCGATTGCTTTCAACGGATACCAGGAGAGAGCACCTGGTGACTTGACCACGGCTTCCCAGGTTTCATTTCCCAGCACAGGGTGCACGGGAGGTAGGGGTTTTGTTAGGCAGGCTTCCGATGATAAGAGAGTGCCATACCCCCAGCCACTCACCAGGCATCAATAACTGTGCTTAAGCATTTCCACGACCTATTCAAGAGGGGTGAATAGCACAAAAAAACTTAAATTACTGATTAAAAGTTTCATACTTCCTAAATGTGCAGATTCAGTCTGGGCATTATGATTGACACACATTCATTTAGTAGATAAGTTGTGAACACTAAGCCTGGCCGTATACACTTGTTTTCCGTATTCGGTTATTTAATCAGCAATTCCGATTCGGAGACCCAAAAAGCGCGCCTTTCATACAAAGTGTACAGCAACAACGCACGCGTTCTTTTCGTTTTCAATGCGGAGAAAACCTGGCGTCACGTTTGTCCTGATCGGGAAACCGAATACGGAAAACGAATGTATGCGGCCAGGCATGACGTTAGGGCTCTGACGATACGGTGCAAATATGTGAGCGATGGTTCTTATGTATTTATACAAAAAATTGTAAAATTCTATCATTTAACCACCAAAAACATTCAATTGATGACAATCCAATCTATCATATATATGTCTAATAGGCAATACATAGTAAAAATAGTTTTTTTTCGCTTCTTCTGCCTCAATAAATCGTGGACAATACTTATTATAATATAAAACATTAACAGAAACGCTAATAAAATGCCTCTCATAAATAACCTCGTGATAACAGTAGCATTTTGCAAAACAGCAGTAATTGTCAACGATAAACACAATTCACGGAACAAGCCATCCTTCCCTGATGATAATGGTTGTATAGTATAATATAAACGGATGAACTTGAAAATGTTATAAATAACTACAGGGTCGAAGCACGAAGGAAACATTTTATGCTTATTATTGACCTTCAATAGATTTCAATTAGAACGGGTTGATTGTCTAAAACGTGACTATTTTATTTATAATAAATATGATTACTGCAATAAGTGTAAAGTTAAAAAAATGTATTAACTCTTTTATTACCGATTTTATTAGACAAACAAATATTTGGCGTCTTGTTTCTCAGATTTTACTTTTCTAGTCACAGTTTTTTAACAGAAGGACGCTCAGTACCAATACTATTTTCTTTCAACTGATTTGTTAAGAATTAAATAATCGGTTCATCATCATCAGCCCTTTTACGTCCCCACTGCAGGGGTTCAGGCCTTCCTTATGGATGATTAAGGAGAATGGGCCGTGACCCTCCACGCTGGCCCAATGCTATACTGGAAAATGGTCTTAATGAAAAATGCTTAAAAAATCAACCTGTGCCAGGTACTCTGAGGATGAAATTATTTTATATTTGTAAGGAATGTGTCAAAGCCAAAACTTGTATTTATAAAATTTTGTCAATTGAAATAAGTTACCGGTAAATTTAATTGTTTTTGTATGGAATTTTCGTTTTTTGAATGAAAATTTAATAAACATTACGATACATAGTTTTCGAGCATTTGGTAACAATCGTTTTCTCCCTATTTTTTCCTATTAATATCATTGCGCTATATGATAGCAGGAACAGTCTTTCCAGGCAGAAAGATGCGAGCTCATTAAAAAATTTAAAAAACTGACACAAATTTTCGAAAATGCATTAAAACATAAATGCCAAGTATCACATCAATAACATTAACATTACATTTATAGTGGTATTTAGAAATATACCACTTTGAAACAAAATCTACCGAAACATGCTAATTTGCACTTAAGCCATTCCTTGACATAGCAGATAACTTATAGTATCCAAACAAAAGTATGGAACAAAACAAAGGAGCCATCGATTTTAAGTATACTTTAAACAAACATATAGCATTTTACTGCCCATAAGCAAAGTTAAAAAAGAAAAAAGTAGACTTTATACATGTGATATTAAAATATCGTGTCAATGAACACTGCGGAGTGTAGATGACACTCTGGTAAGCAGTCGGCTCCCCGCTGTGACCTAAAATTGCAAGTGTCCAACATATGTGTTAGACGTTCGAAATAATCCCGACTTATTTGAACGCCTCGTCTGTTAATACGTCATCCAAGTGTCGAGTTTTCTTAGAACATGTTTTATTTTGTTGTTTGTACTTGCAAATTTGCAAACTATTCAAGATAGCAATTGAGGACGATTATCAATGGTAATAAAAAACGTATATTCAAAAATTTTACCAAATATGCATACCACAAATATTAATTTTAAATATGTGCTCATAGCTAATCAGGCCAAATGTGGATTAGATGTTATGTTAAAGATTTTATTTAGCCAACTACGTATTGAGTAGATGTTAATATTTTACCCTATTAACTGTCTCCTAAGATTTTATTATTAGATTGTCGCTTCACGTGTGAGGCGTAAGTTTAATACTGTTATGTGTATAACAGTGATTTTTGTAATACCGAAACGGCCAAGCTACATATTTTGACTAAAGTGTAAAGTTTGGAAAGTTAGGGTTTATAAACTTATGACGTGTAGAGTTAGAAGTTTGGCTCTACATGAGATCTGAAAACTTTTTGATAGTGTGTACCATATGGACTTGTCTTGGCATCATTTTACATTAAAATGTTTTTGGTGGGTACTGTTTTTAATTGGTAATAAAAAAAATACCAATACCTATAGTATTGTGAATGTCCTAGTATTAATTGAAGTTTCTGTGTGAATACCCATAAAAACTTCCATCCCTTAATTGGTTAAATAAGGGGTGATTTGTAAAATATAATATACACGTCGTAAAGACGTCGTGAACGGTTGGTGGTTAGTAAAAATTTTGGCCTTTGGACGAAATAAGGTTTATTAAGTTTAAATAAATCCGTATTGTTTAAAATCTCGAACCGTAAAAGTATATCGCTACCTAAACTTTACGTCACTGCTAGATAATTTTTCACTTTTTTAAGAAGAAATGAATGAGAGATTATGATAAGATTAGCGGTCAATATAAATTGATAAGAATTATCTCAAAGAGTGATCATATCCGGTACAATTTTTTACATTAAAATAGAACATTTATCACAAATTTTTAAAACAGACGTCCAGCGGATATCTGGTACTGATTAGTGAACTATTTAATAATTGTAATGCTTTATTTTTAATCTCATACCTTTGTAATACGAAACTGAGTCTGTAGGAAGTGCGATAAAAACCGTTTACTTTCTTAAAACTCATTTATATTATGTTATCATTTGTGGTAATTGTCTTATTTTCTGAATGTAGATTTTATCGGGATTTTATTATTCTTAATTTCGAACCAAGTAGCTGAATACCAAATGTTATCGACTACGCTTCAAAACTATCGAAGTTTCATACAAAACCCGATTTTTATCCCCCTAAGCGGCGAATTAATAAAAAATCTTCCCTAACTGTAGGGAAGAATTTTTATCAAGAATTTAAGGAAACATGATGCAAATTTTCGAGTTTCTAATCCTAGTGATAGTTATTTTTAATTGTGCGTTGATATATAAGTCAATCAGTCAATTTTCCTTTTTATATAATATAGATATTGACGCAAATGCAATACTAATGTCTGATGTCATATTCAATTATAATTTATAACATAAGTAAAAAACAAAATATTTATTTGTTTATGACTACCTAGTGGATTGATGATGTCGGTAAAGATGGCAAAGAAGTATGTGTAGTTATTACACCTAACAGTTTTATGAGAGGAAATACGACGTACTTTGAAATACGACTTATTCAATTCAGTAAATATTAACTATCGTAAAATATTGTTTGTGATGTAAAATTGAATACCTTGGTTTTGTAATGAGTATAAAAAAACAAAGTTGCAACACAACCGTTCCATTTCATATTGACTTGAAAGTAAAAATGTAAGTACCTTACGGCAACGGTCTGGTATAATAGATCTTATAAAAAGGAAAGTTTTGATTGTTTGTGTGTCTTGAACAAACTATAAAAGTAATAAATCGATTAAAAAATATATTACCATTAGAATTCTATATTATCCCTGATGAACATCGGTTATTGAATATTTTCAAAAACATGGATCCTAAAACTAGGCCGCCAATTAAAAAATATTAAACCTTTTATCTTATTAGAAACGTAAGGATCGGTGCATAGCTGATGGAAGATTAGTCGCGCATCATTCGTTGCAGAACTCTTGTTATGGCATTGGGCATTCTTAAGTTAGTATTCAAATTATAACAAGAATTAAATGGAAAAATATTTTACAGGAGTACTACGGCAGTATTACAATGACGACGACGTATCCTGGGCGTGGGTGCGCGCTGCCGTGCGGGGCGGATGTCTGCTGGCATGGCGTGAGGGTACCCTGCCCAGGCGGCCCGCTGCCCGCCTGCCCCTGCGCGGGCTGCACCTGCGGACCTCGGCAGCAGTACCCAATGCCTTCCAGCTGTCCCGCCTGCGTGACGACACAGCTGTTGCCACATTTCAGGTGAGAATCTTTAAAGAAAATCTTTCGTGATTTCTATTTGTGAGTTTCTTACACTCTAGTCCCTTCTCTCTAAAAATCTGGATTCTAGATTTCTCCACCGTCTTATCTCTTTCTCATCCCGAATTGATTTCTATTCCTTGCTTTTAATTTTAAGATAGATTAGGTACCGCCCTGCTGCTGGGAAGTATCCCAAAGCACGCCCGATGACGGTTTTCACCCTATCAACTTAACAGAAAGCTGATACATATTGAGTTTACAGAAATTTATTTACAAATATTATCAATCTAAACCACTAGCAATTCGAACACAGTTAAAACATTTTATAGGTGTAAAGCGACTGAGGTAACATACTGTTATAATCTTATTTTCTATACAATAAAGTTTTACACGTGATAAAACAGTTACCAAGTTAATTTACTAAATTAGGCAGGTACCTACCAACTTACATTACTCGGTAACAGTATGACATAATGATCAATCATTACCTACAAATGGTATGATGCTTGAAGAAATACAAAGATTACTCCATTGACAGGTGTCAGGACGATAAACTATCGAACACACATCGCCCTATCTTGACATCTCATATCATTTCTATTGAACACTGACGTCGAATTACTTATCAGTAAGTTAGATTAAATAAAATCTAAATTAACTTATTGAATTTTCCTTAAAAAATGTCTCGTCTTGTTTCTACAGTTTTACACTCCCTTAATAATTTCTTCCTTCAAGTGGTTACTTTACGAGTCAACCTTCCATAACCTCCGTAATATAATAAGTTAAGTTAATGGCGTATTAACACTGGTCGATGACATCCAAGTCCAGGGTGCGGGTCTTATCTGTTCTTCGCTTTCATTGGTCGGTAACTGTTTTATTGTCCAATGAGATGAACTTACAGAGAACACCCGCGCTGACCGTGATGACTCGATTAAACTATGTAAATGATAAGGAGAACATACCAAACTTGGTATTACCATGCCTGAATTCTTGGATTCACTTAAAACAAATGTATAAAAACTGTTACTTACAAATTGAAGCGTGTCAGGTACTGCATTATTCTATAATATAGCATTGTGTACATACATAATTAATCATATACATATAAATAAACGTTTTTATACAAGTTAACTTGTGTATTTAGATTTTTGTTTAAAATATTCATAACTCCTATTTATTTGCTACTTATGAAAAACAAAATAATATATATGTGCATTGTTTCATATATATTGTATGTTTGTTAAACACAATATACACGTCAATTTAATTTTACAATCTAATTTATTTCATAAGATCCGCGATTTTGGTAGATAAAGCTTTTTATAGCACGCTTTCAGTGAAAGCATATGAAAACGAAAGCAACTAGATACTAGTTTGACTCGTCTCGTCTCAGCTAGTTTCCGTTACGCTCGGGGCCATTGAAGTTTACGCTCATCGATTTCAAAATTGGTATTATTGGAATATGTGATGGTGTCCTGATTAATAGTCTTTTTTTTTATTTGTGCATATTGAAAACTATGCAATATCTCAAAGTAAATCTACAGCGGGAGATCGTGTACTGAAAAGAACCTGAGACGCTCGGCAAGGGCTGCTATTTTCTCCCTGTTTTATTTCATATAGAGAAGCTTAATGAAAAAGTGACTTTATTCCACTATGCATGAGTCAACCGCTTCGCTTAACCATATTTTAGGGAACGTAACGACCCGATGCACACGATGTGATGCAAGGTCTCCTCCTTGCCGCAAAACGCGCGCTTTATCTACACCAAACGTCACTTTTATCGTGTCGAGAGTGAGATATCGTATGGCCGCGGAAAGAGAAAGAAGAAAGAAAAGTGACAATTGGGTGTAGACAAAACGTTCTCTACTTGTACGCGTGCAGGTCCCAGAAGTTGGAACGCCCTGATTTGAGGCATAAGCTTTTCCCTATATAAACAAAAAACTATCATCACGAAACAGCATGTAAATAGGTGGATAGTAAATGAAAACTTGAAATCAAATCGATTGCATAGTATTTTGTATTGAAGGTACGGCTGGAGTAGTTTCATCTACGCCTCTCAGATAAATACGTTCCGAACGCTATCTGACGTCATGGATTCCGATCGCTAATTCCTTATAGTATTTCACCGGATATTCACCCTTTTGTTACATCTCAACAATATCTGAATATATAATATATGGAATTATAAGGCTAAAATACGGTTTTGGATGTTGAATTACATTACAATCAGCAAAATTTGCCGATCCCAAAATCCTATCCTAAATTAAAGTACACGTGATATATTACGCCCGAATCGTTTTTTGAATTCCATTTACCGCGGTGATTTCTAAAATCCCCCCTTATTTTTTGTATTACTCATGAAAGAAAGCTTTACGCATGTTTTCATCTTCATCATCATCATCATCATCAGCCCATATTCGTCCACTGCTGGACATAGGCCTCCCCAATTGCACGCCATCTATTTCGATTTTCGGCTGTTCGCATCCAGCTCCTGCCAGCCATCTTGCGCAAATCATCGCTCCACCGCGCCTGAGGACGTCCTACACTACGTTTGCCGAGACGCGGTCTCCACTCAAGAACTCGTTTACCCCAACGGTTATCGGTTCTGCGGCTAATATGGCCAGCCCACTGCCACTTCAGCTTGCTAATCCGGTGGGCTATGTCGATAACCTTGGTTCTCTGCCGGATCACCTCATTTTTGATTCGATCCCGCAGAGAAACGCCGAGCATAGCCCTTTCCATAGCGCGCTGAGCGACCTTCAACTTGTGGACCAGCCGTGCCGTCAGTGTCCATGTTTCGGCTTCGTATGTCATAACGGGTAGGACGCACTGATTAAAGACTTTTGTCTTTAGGCACTGCGGGATCGACGATGTAAAGACCTGACGTAGTTTCCCAAACGCTGCCCAACCTAGCCGAACTCTTCCATTTACCTCGCTCTCGAAGTTGTTTCTACCTAACTGCAATGTTTGCCCGAAGTATACATATTTTGGAACAATTCCGAGAACGGCACCGCATACTGCAATCGGTTCCGGTAGTACGTGTTCGTTGAACATGACCTTGGTTTTATCCAAATTCATCCGTAGGCCGATGCGCACAGAAGAGTCAGCCAGGTCATTCAGCATCTGTTGTAGGTCCTGCAGATTTTCTGCCATGATGACGATGTCGTCAGCAAATCTCAAGTGAGAGATGTACTCGCCATTGATGTTGATGCCACGTCCTTTCCAGTTCAGCGTCTTAAACATATCCTCCATTGCATTAGTAAACAATTTCGGAGACATAACGTCTCCTTGTCTCACTCCTCGATGCAACGGTATAGGACTTGTTTGCTGATTCTGTACTTGGACGGTCATGGTGGCGGCCTCATAAATACATCTTATCACTTGGATGTATCGCCAATCGACTTGGCATCGCTGCAGGGACTCCAGAACGGACCAGATCTCAATCGAGTCAAAGGCCTTCTCATAGTCCACAAATGCTAGACACAGGGGCTGATTATACTCTTCAGTCTTCTGTATAATCTGCCGCACTGTGTGGATGTGGTCTATGGTGCCGTATCCACTCCGAAACCTAGCCTGCTCCGGTGGTTGGAATTCGTCAAGTCTTTGCGCAAGACGGTTCGTGACTACTCTAGAAAACAGCTTATAGACATGGCTTAGAAGGGAAATGGGTCGATAGTTCTTCAGCAGGGTTTTGTCTCCCTTTTTGAAGAACAGGACGACAACACTCCTACTCCACGCCTGCGGAGTTCTCCCTTCGAAGAGGACAGCATTAAAAAGCTTTTGGAGCTCCTTCAGTACCAGTTTACCTCCTGCTTTTAATAATTCAGTTGTAATGCCATCCTCTCCAGGGGCTTTTCCATTTTTAAGCTGTCTCAGAGCGATCTCGATTTCGCCAATGCTGACTTCTGGCAGATCTTCGGTGTAGTGGCGTGTTAATGTGGCTCTAGAATCCTCATTTCCGGGATCAGGTTTTCATCTTATGACTTCTTTATTTAGTTTATTCTTTGTAAAAGACAATCAAATATCCAAAATGTTCTAATCGTTTATTTTGTAATTAAAGTGAAATTAAGCGTCTTTCATCAAATAATACAAGAAGTGTAAGTGTAGTGGTTAAGGAACTTCAGCAGAGGCCGGTCATAGGATGGGTAACCATAAATTTATTATCTTGTGTACCCCAGCAGTGAGTACATTAATGGGTCTTTGATGAAAGACAAATTTTAACAATTAGGAAAATAAAACACATTTGAAATTGGTATACGTTGATAATAATCAAAATTAATTTAAAGTATTACCAGAATCATGTAAATCTAAGGCATACTCGTAGTTAAAACAAAAATGTAATGAATTTATGTTTTAACTATATGTTTTATTATGTTTTGTTTTAATTTATTGCATATTTTAATTATCATTTCTATTATTTGCATAAACTAATTTGATCATTAATATAAGTGCCCAATGCTTGTAATAAATAATAATTATTATTATAAAGCGGAATAGCCTTTGATTCCGCCTCGACTTTGACCAAAAATTTTGTAACGACAATCCTTAACTTTCTCGGTTTCGTAATAAAATATTACTTCCTCCACAAAATAGTCACGTATTGCTTTACTTGGACTATTTGACAATCGGTTTTGTTAAATAAGTTATCGTTAGATAGTATATAAACGCCCATTTTCTGGGACATGGATAGGATAACAATACAGTAGTAATGATCATAAATTTCATAACGCGTCTTCACTGAACTGAATAATAATAAAAAACCTTAACTGAAGAATATGGGGTGTACTATAAGAAAAATATTTTACGACATCATAACAAAATTTGTGAGGCAAAATAAAAATATAAAGTAACGCATTAACAAGTTATTTGATTGATTAGAATTTGTGAACTTCGCAAATCTCATAGCAAATTAAAAAGTTTAATCTTAGATACGGTTTACTTATACTGTGTGCAAAACAATTCAATTGTCTTTTAATTTTATGTGTACGAAATGAAATACTTTTATTATTATTATATTTAGTCAATAGGATTGTAAATGCAATTATGACGAACTCGAGAACGTTTTGTCTACACTCAAAGTTTCTCGAGTTTGTCATGCTACGCGTGCTGGGGCTGGTCTTTTCTTTCTTGTCAGAATTCCAAGATATTATACAGAATAGTATGACTAATACCAGGATTACTAAGTACATAGTTACGTAGTGTTTGTTGTGATACAGCATGCAATCTGATAGCTATAAAGCGCTCAGCTTACCAATGCCCTTGACAATAGACACGTCTTATATTGGATTGGATAAATTATGTTTTCTTCTAACCTTTTCTGTAACTGTTGTGATTGTTAACTTTATTCTCAATAGAATATAATTAGGGCATATTTATTATGTGAATAAAAAATTTATGGCAACACTTTTTATCCGACTAACTGTATCTTATTTTACACTAAACTCAATCAGCAGTTTCTTAAGAGAAAACTTTAATTTATAAGCACACATAACTGCACGTCAGGTAAATTTCTGCAATGGATTTTGATCTCTCATCATCATCATTATCACCAGCTTATGAATGTCGCCATTGCTGGGGCTCACGCTTTCCTTGTGGATGGAATTGACTCAAATCAAATTAAATTAGTACTTTCGCAAGGGTCGGTTACGGGATGGGTGACCAAAAAATTATTATCTCAAGCTACTCCGTGCTTCGGAAGGCACGTTAAGCCGTTGGTCCCGGCTGCATTTGCAGTCGTTAATACCCTCCAATCCGCATTGGGCCAGCGTGGAGGATGATGGCCCATCCTCCTTAACCATCCATAAGGAAGGCCTGCAGTAGGGACGTAAAAGGGCTGATGATGATGATGATGAAATTACCTCTACCCTAAATATATTAAAATTGAATGGAGGAATTTGATGGTTTTGTAGTTTGGCGTGCAGTTGACTTTACATACTTAACTTAGATACAAATTAATTTAAAGTAAACACATTCGTTTTCGCTTATAATATTTTGATTTTAAAGTACAAATAATTACACTACCAGACGTTAATACATTAACGATAAAATTCGAAGACTAACTATAAACAAGCCCTTAGTATCCTCAGTACAAAACATCACCGAGTGTAAGGGTTTATTTATAGTATTAATGACATCTGTCGCACGTTAGATGCCTCGCGTATCGTCAGTCGTGAAACGTTAGAATTTTATTCTACTTTGCACACTCGACGGATGTTCTGTTGCGTACTAACTTCCATGAGATGCTTTACGGATCTTTCGTGAGATTAGTAACCAACTACCACCATACCTTAAATCGAGCTTATAAAACAAAAAATAAATATTAGAATTCAATTTGTCCAAATATTAATACAAAAATGTTATATAAGTGCTCAATACGAATTCGATAATTTTTGCGTTTAGAATACTGACCTCAGTGAACTTGAATAAGTGTTCTGCCGATGAAAACACAATAGAAAATGAGTAATTGTCACTATAGATGAGTACAGACGAAGTTGCATGTGTTCATAAACAACTATCGGCGTACTTTCGTTTCCGCAACACTAGTGATTTTGCTATATCCGGGAAGAGAATCGAATTAACGTCGTAAAATAGTGAGAAACTAACAAATTGCTTAATGTAACTTGCGTGTTTTGTGTCGGAAAGCCGGATAATTTTTTTTTTTATAGGAACAGGTAAAATTTGCGACCAGTTCCGTTATGCTCACATTATCCTCGTGAAAATTTATGTTAAACTAAGTTTTCAAATCTTCGTGTTCGCATATGAATTCTTTAACGATTGAATTATTTTTACATGCATTAATATAAAGTCACACCACACATAAGAACATTTTATATCTGATACAAAACATTAGCCTCGCAATAATGATTTACTGATAAATAATGAATATTTACAATAAACTTATATGCTATATTATATTTATTATAACTGTGTTACATGTCATCGTATCTTTATTATCTTAATCTTCTTCTTAGTCAATATCAACATCAGCTTGACATTATCATTCATTGTGTAAATGACAATGTTTTTATAATGGTTGTGGCTAAATGACACTGCAGTCAGATCAATTATTAAACGAAAATATTTAGATATATGACGCTACGTTGCACTGACTAAGGTGTCTCTTAGTCAGTCCAAAGAGCTCATTTTATTTTAACTCAAATACTGTAATAATATGGAAAATTTTATGTATTCTCACTAACATAAATTAACATTCTACAGCCTCCACAGCCAGTATACATCGGTAAATTTCACAACGAATAACTTGTTTCACAGTTAAGGACATCGAAATCTGTAATCAAGTCTGTAAGCTGGAACTATTTTAGTAATGATTTAAATTGATAGCAACCATTATAAATATACCAATACGTATTACTTGTTACCTCTCGAAAGCTGCCTATAAGAAATAAAGTCTTCTGGGACCCCATCTACTCGACATTCTCACGATTCGCTCACTTTTATAGACCTGTATAAAACGAAACACCCGTAAATCATTGCCTTTTGTGCCTGACCTTTTATAAAACTATTTACCATAAAAAGGGATAGATCGCGAAGGTGTTGACACATAAAGAAATCATGTTTAAACATTCCCTCTGGAACATGATCTTTGATATAAAAAAATGTGGTCGAAGCTAGTTTCGTATTTAAAATAGTCCAATTCAACTGGCTCCCCAGACATAAAAAGTTAATCCACATTTATATATAATTTTGTTCTTATTTCTTTTTGGTAGCCATGCTAAGAATCCCATTATTATTATTATTATAATTTTATTGGTCTCCATTGTTGCAGGCATGCAATGCGGCGGAGTATGCCAAGTGGGTACGTGCACTTTGCGTTGAAATTCTCGGTCAGACACCGTTGCCGCAAGTACGATTTTTGGACGTACTCCCTGCAGCCGATACTGCTACCCGAGGCTCGAGAAATGAAACTCCAAATCAGGAGACAAATTCTTGCCCGCCCCGGCCGCCACCGCGTGCTCGTCGAAGGCTACTCACGTCTGAAACGCAGCTGCCGCGTAGAGACCACTCTCCTGCCGCGACTGACGAGGGCATCGTCGTCGAAGACGACGACTACGACTCATCGTCTGACCGCAGCCTCGACCTAACTCTCTCCCTCGACGCTATGAAAGCGACCGATGTGGTTGATGCGCCCATACGGAAAGCAGAGATCATCAAATGTGACAATTGCAGCAAACTGAACGCACAACATCACACGCTACCACGAGCGGCGCGCTCCGGCGAATCGGAGCAAGGTCGCCACAGATATTTAAAGCGTTGGGAGGGGACGGCGGGGGCGGCCGTGCGGGGCCGTCACGTCATGGAAGCAGCGAGGCGGAAGACGGCGTCGCTGGAAAGCAGGGCGAGATCTTGCTCTCCAAACTCACATGAAGCTGTCACAAAATATGTACCAGTGCGGGAGCGAAGAGCTTTATTTGAGTCATTGTCACGTAGTGGAGGTGGGTTAGCCAGAAGTACTGAACATTTGTCGCTGACAGTGTCAATAGCGCCGACGACACCGAGACGCGCAGCGTCACTCCATGATTTGCAAGCGCCTCCCACGCGTTCTGTGAGCGATCTTCGACAATTTTTTGAGGCGGTAGCACGTGGTGGGGGGCCTTGTGGCGGTTTACAACGACATAGTGCCCCTCCTGATCCCTTGCCACGACCCTTCGTATCACTCTCATGCGCTTGAAAACTTTGTACATATATTGTAGATATGGCGTTGACCGCCTTCTATTTACTAAGTCGTTCGTTTTAAGACTGTTATAGTATTGTTATAGAAATACCTAATATAAATGAAATAAATGTATTATCTATTATAACAGAGTGGTTTCACTATCGTCCAGACTTATTTCAACCGACCACAATCTGGTTTCGGACTGGCACGTTGTTATAATATAGTGCATGTCGCGGTCAGCCAAACTATGCTATTTGATTGTGTAATTTTATCGAAAGCAATTTAATAACGTTGCTTAAGCTTTGTTTTCGGCCCTGACGGGAAACAACAATGTAACTGTACTAACGTTTTGATAAAGCAACTGGTAAACCAAATGTCACTGGATAGGTAGAACGTTATAAAGGTCACCGTCGTGTCCCTAACACCACTATCAGCATATTCTCTTACAAAACGTTTACCAAACAACGTTGTACGATTGTGTTCATTCGTATTTTACAGTTTTTACGTCGCGTGAACTGTGCGTTCCCATTCTTATAATTATGTTCTACGTTGTATAATTTGCTTCACAAAAACTATATTTAATGACTTTAATGACAGCATCGTCCCATGGAAGAGGCCGCTTATTCGTTATACTTACTCCTTCTTTCAATATAGAACTTTGAACTCGCATGTCAAACAAAGCAAAATCTCAGAGTTGGTCATTGGAACGGTGAACACGTGACCGTAAACGGCAATGAACATGTTTCGTTATAAAAAGCTGCTCATGAACGAGACGCACCAACAAATTGTATGCAAAAGATAATCTAAGGATTAATTTACATTTCTACATACCCGATACCAAAGATTACAATACTTAAGCGCTTTGTCAAATATTTCGTTGATGACTACCTTCTGCTGTCGGCTTTGACTACGTGACTTGAAACTGTCATCCGAAGACCCCTTACTGAATAAAAAATATAAGTGTTAATCAACTGTTAGGAATTTTTCGTACTAAGGGTGGAAGTACTACCTATATTACTTGTTGAGTTGGACCTGAGTTTGAAGGCCAATGATGGCTGATTGCTAATAGGGATGCTATCAACTTCTATGTAGATAATTTAATTTTTAGTCTGGAAGCGACAAAAACAAAAATGCGTCAAAATGCACCTGTTGAAATTAATAAGGTAACGTGTTTTATTTTTGACCTTTTGGTAGATACTTCATACAGTGATAAGTATTGAAACCTATAATTTTTTAGGTATGTATAAGGTTGTGTTAAATCCGGCAGCACGTGATGTCAGTAACATTTATTGTAATATTACGGAGTAAGATTTGGTTTACTATAATGATTATTTCATGGAAATGTGTAAACCATGGTAATTAGTAGATAACATCTACAGTGTTCATTAAGAATGTATGCGATGTAGATAGATCCCATTGCTAGTTTGTTGCCCTTAGATAAGCTGGGAATTATTAAAATATGTTAATAGTTTGTTTGTTTATGTAATTACTGAATGGAAGCTACTATTGTTTACTAATCTAATAATTTGTTGATTAAACAATGTAATTACTTAATAATGTAATTAGTGAATTGGCAACTTTTCTATTTCATGGGTCAGAGAAGGAAACAAAATTAATATTTATTATATTTGATCAATTTTCACAATGCTATACTGAAAAATATTCTTAATTAAAAATGCTTGAAAAATCAACTTTGTCCCTGGTACTCTGAGATGGGATCCGAACCCATGACCTTTCGCAATCTGGGCAATTGTTTTGGTGAATTGCCTGAACATCGATGAAAATACGCTCTTTAGTAACGAAAAAGTAACAAGTTCTTGGAAAATTCGTCAGTCCTGTTAGGTACTGGGTGGCACAGTGGTTAGAGCAGTTGCCCGGATTGCGAAAGGTCATGAGTTTGAATCCTATCTCAGAGTACCAGGGGCAAAGTGGATTTTCTAAGCACTTTTCTTTAAAAATTCATATTTCTTAAGTTAGTCTTAGGTCTGTGCATATCTCAAAAGTTTGTACACGACAAAAAAACCGTTTTATCTTATCACCGTTTAGTAGTACTCAAGCGATAAAATTCAAAAGTGAAGACCAAATTTGGAACACCTAATTTTTTGTCTTCTCAACTACATGCTGCAAATTATACAGTGAAACATACCTACGTGCATATACCCTACAATTATTATTACTGTATTTTAATTTTTGTTTTTGCAGATGAAATTCTGAAGACTCCGAAATATCTTTAAATACATACTACTTAAGAGACAAACAGATGATATGTAGTTTAAAGTAATTGTGCTGATTGCTGTCACTAATTGTTGATGTTGTTACAACACAACTACTGGAATTAAAACGGCCACTTAAACTGTTGAACGGACTAGTACGCGAATAATTATACTATATTGGAGCTGTTAGTTTTAATAACGTGTTGTTACTCTTATATCGACAATGTAAGTAGCGATTGTTATTAAATATAATACTATATCAGCAGAACAGTTAATTTTATTATTGGAATCACATTCACCAATCAAATGAGAAGAGCTGTTTTATTATTACAAGCTTTTATATAACTCCCCTTGTTATGTTAGTGCGCGAATGTTGGAACTCACATTTAACCCTTTCCCCAATCAGAGGAGAATGCAATATTATGGTGTCAGTAAGCTAATATGATGATGAAGTCGGAAGGTGGTCATTGGAACTTAATGGTGAAATGACGCAACTGCGTCGTTTTTGAGCTCGAAAGATCCGTCTTTATGATTATTTTGGTACTGGATGCTTTCCAGACTAAGGTCTGGTGTTGATGGAGCTGGAAGATGGTTATAGGAACTTAGCAATGAAAAAAAAAACTTTCAAATCTATAACAATAAGAAATAATTTTGACTATATGTACGTTAAATGTTGAGAATTTATTTATTTATTACTTTTTAGTGCGGACAAATTAAAGCTTGTTTTTAAAAAACTTTTTTATTTTATTTTATTCTCATACTGAAAATATAGACTGGTATATATATTTAGCACACAACCATACTAAATAATATTGTAATAATATTTTTAAAGAGTTATCCTGTATGCGATCAAAATTTTCTAAGATAACGACTTACAGAAGTGGTCCTGCATAAGAAATAGTAAAAAAAAAGTCACGGATGGAACACAAAATTTCGTCTATCCTTTTCTATCGTAGGACATGCGTGTTATAGTTAATAGCACCAAATTAGCAGTTGGAATGTGGCCATGTCGAATAGTGGCTGCAACCTTACAACCAGTAATTCAATCAATAGAAAAAGCGAACAATGCTTGTCAGGAGCGGGGAAAAAACTCACAAAGAAGGCCGAGGGATGATACAGGTAGCAGGGTCGGGATATCAAAAGATTGAAAGCTAAAGCAAGAGTATGGTGAATGTATTTATATTTGGTAGCCGTTAGTATAAGTTTGATTAGTGATAACACAAACAATACTATGTTGTGTTACGTAATATTGATAATACATTTAAGATCAAGAAAAAAGTTTAAAATGAAGAAATCTTACTCCTACTGTAGATTGCCAAGCCCTTGCTTGAGACTTAGAAGAGATCTATTCTGTGTCGAGAACGTAGCAACCTCTTTGGCAGCAACAACAACAATTACAGTAAGGAGTGTTGTTACGCTTAGACGCCTAAACAACTGAACCCATCTAAATGGAAATTAATATATTAAATAGAAAATTAATATAGTAAATAGACTTAACTTTAAGAAAGGATATAGGCTACATTTTATCGCGAAAAATAGGGGATGAAAGTTTGCCTGGAAATTTGTCATTATCAAATTTTTTTTAGACAATTGATAAGTATAGATAAATATTTGACAACAGAAGTAATAATAAAGAATAAACAGAAGATTAACAAAAGTAATTAAGTGACACTCAGTCTTCTTCGCATTTAATAAAATTTTAAATGTATATTTGTGTCATTAATAAATTTAAAAAAAAGAAGTATTCTAAAGAAATAATATTTCTGCTCAAAGAAACTACACCACGCGTATAAAATTATGCCTATATATAATACAGTCAACTGATCTCGTAAAGTTCATTTAGCATATTAATTCTCCGCTTACATGGCACTAATTTCGATTTATATACGAAATAGCGCTACCGATTGGTCTATCTCTGTAATCGCTGAAATTAATTAACTCTTTTCTTTTGCTTTACAAACCATTTTTTAGAAAATAATTCGTAAAACAGTATATTTCACAATTGGCCAACACCAAGGATATTTATACCTATTTGCATGGTTACATATGTAGAATATTTAAAAAATGTAATCTTCACCTTTTTAGAATGGTGTGCTTACTAATTATTGGTAGATTTGAACTAGGATTTTCAAACATAATGCTGAACCGTATATAAGGTAAGTCTTATGAAATAAAATGTGATCTTGAAAGCTCGAAACAATACTTTAGAAAAAGAAGGTACTTGATCAAATACTTTAGACAGTTCTACGTCTAAAGTTTTGATCTTATAACGTAGCATACAGTGATGGATGTATATACGTTATTACCGACAACCGAGTTTAGCATTTTTCTCAGTATTGTTTGGGATCCATTTTATGAACAAAACAATAATCAAAAACAAGATTTGTTCTTGAAAAAAGAAACATCCTCGAACTCGACGTCGAGCGCAGCACTATAATAGTATAGAAGTTCAATTAAATAAAACTTACTTCAAAAGTTATTAAAGGTTTTATGCATTAAAGCTCTATGCTGTTACAGCGTTGTTCTCAAAGTTGAGTTCAGGCTGTTTTTAACAAAATGGCGTATCTTTTAAATAAATAAACAAATAAAAAAGTAAAGTAAATAATATTATGCTGATTAAGTATGATAATTCTGATGAATAAATGCCCATACAACATTATGGGTCTATTAAGGGAAACATTTTGTAATAAGCTCCAAGCTTTTATATGCGTAACTTTATGATTGAACTCACGTAACTAAAGCTTAGCGCAACCCTTAAAGGGATGAAAGCGTGGTTTTAAACTTACTGTGTATGCGTGAATAACGGGACTTTAATACCGGTTTATCTATCTGTACCTACATTTATTAAGTGAATGCTGGGACCTTGAACGTGACTGGCGGTACTTTTTCGGATGTTCGCAATTTTATCAATGTCACAAAACAAT